CCCAAATGGCAAATTCATCCCAGCCCCAACCCCAGTGGGGCTCTATTTCAGAGAGAGGGAAACATCAAATGTGTCATTTTTAAAATCTTCTTTTCCTCTGTGCCAGGGTTGGGATTTAAGGCATGAGAGACAGAATTTTGTGTTTATTAATTCTGATCTATGTCACAGTGCACTCACACTGCACTTCTAGCTAAAGAAAGCTAAAAATGGTGAAATGGTGATGGATCTCTCTCATTACAAGGTCTTTTAATTGCCCAATTAAGAACTAACACCTGAATTATTTTTACTTTTGACCCAATGACCAACCCACAGTGTGGAATTTTCTATGGAATTAAAGAAAACCACCTAGACCCATGAAGAAGGTGGTGAATCAGAAAGAAACCTTTGCCCTAAAACCTCCTAAAATCTTGCTTTATACCAATTACCTATTATTATTATATTCTCTATTATTATTATATTACCTATTATATTATTACCTATTATTATACCTATCATCTATTATTATTACCTATTATTATTTCGATTATTTATATTCTAAACCCCCAAATTCCAAACCCATCACCATGTGATATTACACACTTCTATTCAAATTACACACCAGTGATTCCAGTTCTATTAACACTGAATTTTGGAAGTCTTCTCCAAAAACAAAGTTTTCCTGAGGGTCAATTCCTGACAGCACAGAAAAGCCCAAAAGTCTCAGTAATATCCAGGATTCCAACAAAAATGCACTTTGTATTTTGCCCAGAAATTGCAGCACTTTCTATTTTACACCAAAAGTGCAGCATTTTGTATTTTGCCCAGAAATTGCAGCACTTTCTATTTTACACCAAAAGTGCAGCATTTTGTATTTCGCCCAGAAATTGCAGCTTTTTCTATCTTGCCCAGAAATTGCAACTTTATATTTTGCCTAGAAATTGCAGCATTTTAAATTTTGCACAAGAACTGCAGCATTTTGTATTTCACCCAGAAATTGCATCACTTTCTATTTTGCATTTTGCCCAGAAATTGCATCATTTTGTATTTTGTATTTCACCCAGAAATTGCAGCATTTTGTATTTTACACCACAAGTGCAGCATTTTGTATTTCGCCCAGAAATTGCATCACTTTCTATTTCATCCAGAAATTGCAGCACTTTGTATTTTGCATTTCACCCAGAAATTGCAGCACTTTCTATTTTATATTTCACCCAGAAATTGCAGCACTTTCTATTTTACACCAAAATTTGCAACTTTATATTTCACCCAGAAATCGCGGCACTTTCTATTTTG